GTAAGAAAGTGTTTCCCTATACGGGGACTTACGTCCTTCTAGCCGTGAATCGACCCGCCCTGAGACGCGTCGCGCAAAGAAGTAAACTAATGAGCTCAGTCTGCTCCTACTTTTATAGGGGTCGCGCCGTTCCTCTGACGCGCCTCCACCAATACCCTTACTTTCCCAAATAATTGTTAAACTAACAATTATTTGCATCAGGTAATCAATGCGAGGCTCATGCTTTGTTATTCAACTCAAAACACATTGGGTCTCGCGGTCGAGGAAATGGAGCCAACCTTTACCAAAAACGACACTATTTATAAAATCCACTTAAACTAGATACAAAGTAATGGTTACAATCATAATCAACTATAAACTATTATGAGCCGTTTATTTTGAAAGTGGCCTAACTCCATTTATCTTCAAATCGAGATATTTAAGGGTTTGCGTTTCAATGAATTTAAAAATATACGTATAGGATACTAATGAGTCATACTGCTTGAGTGTCTCTAAGGGTGTTCAATTTATAGTTCCTATTAAAATAGTGGCAATTGTTAAGTGAATAATATGCGTTTTCTTATCAAGAATGGAGTTAGGCCACTTTCAAAATTAACAACCAGATTCATTATAAAATTTGAAGGTGCCCAAGTCCATTCAACATCATTTATATGGTGCAAATTGAAAAAAAAACAATACAGAATTTATTTTACATATCTTTAAAACACTTCGGAAACATAATTTATGCGATTCAAAACATTTTCTAACTACATAACGTACAAAATTATAAACATAAATTTATTACAAAACAATTTACTACTGATCTACATTTTGTGCGTGTGTAAGCGATTTGAAGTAATCATGATGTTCCAGTGCTATGTATCGTAATAGGTCAATTATATCCTTAAATTTTGCTGTTGTAATTTGTCTGATAATTTTATACAATGGTGTCAATACAATATTTTCGAATTTTGTTGGTCTACCCCGACGTGGTAATAAATTCAGGATTTTAAAATTTTAATGTTACTTTAATGTTTCTATTTTGCCCGGTGCACATGTCACTGTAAGCTATAATGTGTCTTTCACTTCTTAAATCTTTAACATGTTTTAGGACGCATGAAACAATTTCTTGAGCACCTCTGGATGCAATAGTCTCATCCCAAACGTACATGTAAATATTATCATTATAAAAATTGTGAATACCCAAATTTAGAACATACATATTGCGTTCGTAATATGCTACTGAGGTAGTCAACTTGGGATACGGTAATGCTTTTTGCAAGTCGAACGAGAAAGAAAAAATAATAATCTGAATTACGTGATACTTGCTCCTGATCTTCTTTTAGTGAATTCCTAGCTGATTCTGCTAGTCTTAAATGGACATCGTGTTCTTCCGTAAGTTTTTTCTTTTCTTCATCATCATTCGATGCTTTAATTTTTATGTTTAATAAGTCGCATTTTTGACACGTATCTTTGCGCGGTTGGTGGAAATGTAGATCAAAATCTTTTTTAAATATTTTTCTATAAGTCCACTCATTAACAGCTTTTATATTATTTTCCTCGCAACGAAGCTCGTATAAATTAAACATTTTCCTAACAGTTAGATCAGGATGTAGATATCTTCTATTAGAATTTGAGATCTGGTATAATGGGATTCAAATTTAGGAAAACTTCTAATATGGTTCTGAACGTGCTTTTTCCCTTCCTCAGATAATTTTGTTGATGATCCAACCATCATCCCACGTAAATCATTGCCTACATTTGGAGAGTTTAATACTCGTTTTGAGCGTCCTTCACTTACTTTAAAAGTATCCAAAAAGTATTTTTTACAGACGGGAACTTTTCCGATTTTAAAATTTAACAAATATCTGAAACTCCAATTTCTTGGCGAAACTTTTCCGTTTGTTGGACGTCTTCGTTCCACAATTTTGCCCTCAACAGCTTCGTAAAGCAATATATTTTGTTTGTTAAAATCTTCCAAACCCCAAAGCTTCTCAAAAATATTCTTTCTTTCCTCTTCATCGAAATTTTCTGTGCAAGCACTCCGACAACGGCAATCTTTGTTTAAGACAATTGTTTAAGTATCGAGGGAGAATAAACAATTGGATACCGCCTATGGTGTGCGTAAACTCGCCAAGAACAAATTGATGATAGGCGATTCGCCCATCAGCTTTGAGGGTGATCGAATCCATGTAGGTGACACGACTTACTTGAAAACTGCGGGTTTGATCGAACTCTTGTTCAGGAAGGTACCTGACGAGACTAGTGTAACCCAGGATGACTTGGACAATTACAAAAACATTATTGTAACGACGAATGCACATAGAAAGTACTATAAACCTGATGGTGTAATTCGTAAGAGCAAGAGTTTCAAATTTAATAACGTTATTGCAAAACTGATCGAACAGCCCTCTGTAACGGGCAAAGGTATAGTACCGCGGTACATGATCGCTGCCAAGGACGAACGAACGGATTACGTGTACTGGGACGACCCCAACGAACTGGTAGACCGGCTTCGCCTGCTCCTTGCGTCGACGAACTGGTAGACCGCCTTCGCTTGCTTCTTGCGTCTCGGGAAGCTGGTAACCCTAGTCACTCGAACGAAATCGTATCGATTATCAAAGAATTGCGCGAGGCGGGTATCATTTATTAATTTGATGAAACGATCACGATCGCCACTTTGAATATGAGCGTCGACGTGTTTGGACGTCAGTTGAGTAGCAGGACCGCGGTTACGAGTAGCTGTGATCTTCCTAGCGCTGGATTCAAATTCACTGCTGCTGGACACTACGACATTGGGTGCATTCAACACATCACAGCAATGTATAAGCGCTCACCCAGCGCTAAGCAGCGCTTTAGGAGTTGCTTCGTCTTCTACTGAACGCTTTTCGTAATACTCTTTGTAGCATCAGGTTTGTTTAATTGTGTTCAGAGAAAAGATAGCAGCTTCTACCTGCAGACTGATGTTCTGCTGAACCCTATCTTATTCCGTTGCCGTGCATTGTTTTCCAAAAGCGGATGCCATTTTTTATAGCATTTGAAAAGTACGTTGGAAAAGCGAAACACGTTATAGCACGTTGACGGTTAACGCGGTGAGGAGTTCTGTATGTTGCACAAGGAAAAAGTTATCAAATACATGGAAAATAATAAAAGAAAATTGCATATCGTGACATATACTTATCCCGAGGGACATGAAGCAGTTAGTGTAGTGGATGATGAAACTTATAAAAAACTGCAAGGTAAATATCATACTAAATAGTTCGACATAAGTTTGGAGGTTAAATGTTTTGATTCTTCATCAATTTTCTTTGATTTTATAAAAATTATTTTTTCCTGGCTTTGTAGATCCAAAAAATCTAAGTAAATACTTTTCTGTGGTACCATGTCTGTCGGACGAAGAAGATGCATCATGTGGTAGGTGGAGTTTAATTACATTAATAATATAAAACAATAATTGTATTCATTTAATTTAAAAAATTTATAAAGATATTTTGGAAACAGCGGAAGATAGTATTAGCGCTGATGATACAGCCAGCGCCAACAGTGACGCACCAACAGTGATACAGAATACAGAAAGTCTTGCAGTAAGCAATCCTGTTTTTGAAGGTGTATATGAGTTTCAAGGTGTAACATACAATATTCATGAATCACTAGAAACTCACAATTTAATAGAAAGTGGTATGTAAGAATTAAAAAAAACATAATTTGTATATTATTTTAAATGTTACATGTTCAATCGTCATATCTTGTACATTTTCGTCTTTCAGATCTCTATTAAACATTCATATTTAATGATCATAATGCCTAATCAAACAGTTAAATTTAAGTACCTTTACAGCTTTCCTTAATATGACAATTCGACATGTATCTTTCAAATTATTTAAAAACATGCATATATTCACATTTCAAAAATCTTTCAGATCCACACTTTTTTGAACAATATTTAACGGAACATGCATCAAGAACTGCAGTACAAATAACGCAGTCTCTGGGTGGTACAACAAAGACAGAATCACATCAGAATATCACAGATGTGACACAGGTGCAGCAACATTCTGTGGAGCATATAGACGGTAAATAGTAGCTGTTATAAATGATATGGAAATCTAATGAATATAAGTATATTCAATACATGTTTAATCACTCATACAGATACTCCCACCAAAAGTTTTTCATGGACTGCAAAATCCATGAAATGTCTACTGCACGAGTACAACGAAAGAAAAAATAAATTTCGTAACTCTACCATTAAAAAAAAAAGTTTGTGGGCAGAAATTAAGGCAGAATTTTTTAAAAAAGGATACAAACACGTCACCGAAGATATATTGGATAGAGAAATGCGCAATTTAAAACAATTATTTAAAACGGTCAAACACAATAATAAAAAAACCGGACGAGGTCGTGTTAATTAGGAGTGGTACAGACAGGACAAGACAGTTAATGTTGCTGGCACAATATTTTCAATGACGACAATCGCTACTGGAGATGAAGAGGACACTGTAACAGAGAACGTAGACCTGAGATCTTCGTCGACGCTATCAACGCACGCCGGTGATTCGATATCTTCAGCAAATGTTACGGAAGACGATGAAATATCAAATACAGAGGATGATCCAGAAGATAATTCGGTTAGGTTCGGCAACACAGTGAAATACCAGTTTCCACGCACTAAATCATTTCATCGATGTCATTTCAAATTAATTGTTTGGGCATATGTGGAAGTATAGTTTTGCTACCAATATTTTCATTCATATCTTTTAGTGATCAGTCTAGGAAGCAAAAAAGGACTAGGGGACGCACTAGCAGGAGAGCATGTAAGGCAACGCGGGCAAGGACTCTATATGATCTGCGTAAAAAGCAGTTGGACTGCGAGGAACGAAGAATTGCTGCATTTAATAAACTTCAAGAAAGTATTGAACAGTGCAATGTCATTCAGGCTGAGAGGAATACAATATTTGAAAAGATTTTGCTTTCTAGGCAATAATCATATTGTTTTATTGCAATAATCTAGCATCCTGCATTCTATTCAATAATTATGGCATACGTATCTTTTTTATAATAAACAGAGTTATCTTACAGTTTATACGTGTGTTTGTTTTCCCTATATCTATCTTTTTTTCACTTAGAAACAAGTTGAACCATATGACGTCGCTTTGCAACAGCTTCTACATATGTATCTGTTGTGACAGCTAGATCTGCACATTCTGTAGGACCATCTGACTCTTCTATGATATCTACATCATCGATGTTTATTTCATCATTCGATAATATAAAATTGTGCAGTACACAAGCTGCTGCGATCATGTTGTTTCCTAATTGAAAATCGGAAATATCTAAGTATTTGAGACGTCTCCATTTTCTAGTCAACAACGCAAAAGCTCTTTCTATGATTGAACGGATAGAGCTCAATTTCACGTTATAGGTCACTTCAGAACACGTCAAACTTCCGTTATCTTTGAATGGAGTCATTAAATTTAGTAGCAGAGGGTATGCAGAGTCTCCTACTATGTGTAAATTCTTTGGCAATAAAGGATTAACCATATTAGTTATACGGCATATAGCGGGCTTGTCCTGAAAACTCTAGCATCGTACATTCGCCTAGGGCAACTAATGAAACAATCCAGAAATTTTCCTGTATGATCGCATGTACCTATCACACATGATTAATATTGATTATTATACATATAATACTAGTCTAACAATTACACGAGTACTACGAACCTTGTAAGATTATAGAATGATACCTTTTACGATTGTAATAATCTATGGCATTTCCAACAGGGTGTTTACAAGGGATGTGACACCCATCGATTGCTCTTATAACCCCTGAGATGCCACAAGAACGAGCTTCAAAAACCTGCAACCATTAAAATGATGCATTTGCGTGATGAGATTTGCGGTGAAACGATGCACGGTGTAATTTGATGTCACGACCATTGAATATTTTGGAGTCTTCTTGTTCCTGGATGTAGATTTTGAAGTCTTCCTATTCCTCGCCGTAGATGTTGTGTGATTTTGGAAGACTCCAAAATGTATGTCCAGGAATATAAAGACTCCAAAATCTACGTCCAGGAACACGAAGACTCCAAAATCTACGGCGAAGAACACGAATACTAACTTTTTCTGATAAAGCACGACTTGTATCATTCGGCCATTTGACGTATTTTGGTAATAGATTAGCCAAAATCGTTATCATATTTTTAAAAATTTGGTGCCCAGTACTTTTGGACAATCCAAACCTATCTCCTACAGCTAAAAAGCTTCCAGGTTTAGCAAGTGTCCAAATTGTGAACATCATTTTCTTTTCAATGCTAACGTTCATATTCAGAAGTGGGTCCGTAAGGGGTGCTATTGCAGTAATCAACATCTGTAAAATAATAAATTTTATTCGGCCACGTTATCGTACACTTTTTACGATCTAATAGGAGTTACATAGGCAATTATAACTGGAAACCTATAACTAATTAGTTCAAAAGTTTCTCGTGAAATTCGAAAATGTTCCGAAAATTGAATGTCTGTATAGCGTGGAATGATCAATTCGAAATAATTTTCATTACGGGGCCTCTTCTTCCGTCTTCGTATTCTTAACTGATTTGGTTCTGATTCGACAAGCTCATTTAAAACATGTTCAACTAGGTTCATGTTAATCCCGTCGTCCATCGCCAAAAACACAATTGTGTCCATTTTTTGTATAATATTTAAGTACTACCGTTACCAGAGAACATATATTACATGTAATAATTTTCTCTGCCGCTACTCATCGCTAAGTGTTGTTTTCTGGTGAACATAGCCGCTATGCTTATTAACAACATGTTTCGATTAAACAGCGCACTTTAAGTTGCTATAAAAAAGGCAGCCGCTTATGAAACATGTTGTAAAGCAACGGAATCGTGAATCATGTTCAGCAGAATATTATTCAACTGCTGTATAACTAATGCCAGTTACTACACTCTGCTCAACGCACCCATTGATAGCAAGAGGCTGTGCAACGTCGCCAATCCCGAGGAGGAAAACGACGCTGTGACCTTAAAACTGATGAAAACTGTAGTGAAGCAGGAACTGAATACCGTGTTTCACGTGACTGTTGGAATGCGCAATGATATCGATAACAACAACTTGATGATTCAGTCTCTCGATTCTACCACGAAGGATGCGTTGAAACGTTTGCAAGCTGATATCGAACCAGGACAAGAATTGGCGATTCGCAACTCTCTGATCATTTCTCAGCTGGACGCCAGACTGAGTGCGCTGAAGAATGGATGGAAAAAAGTTAGCGGTGGTGAAGGAACTGCATAGACCTGCCAGGAGAAATTACCAGCGCCGGCACGTTGACGTCCGTGGGCTGGACGAGACTTGGCAAGCGGATCTCGTTGACGTGTCAGCGTACGCCAGAGAGAACGATGGATACAAGTATCTGCTCACCATAATCGACATATTTTCAAAGTTTGCTTGGGCCGTGCCGACCAAGAGCAAGA